GGGGGGGTGCCCTGGCGTGGGGGGGGGGGGGGCACACGCAGGCAGGCGGGTAAGCTACGTCGGTGATGACGTGTACGGGGATTATCGATCTACGCGGCCTGACTTATTATGCGTCACCTAATCGCGGCTCGCGCGTCCCTGGAACGACACGCTGAATTAACAATACGAAAGTCCTCCTCTGACGGAGTTCCTCCCGGATAAAGAGGTCGAGTCGATTGGCCGCTACGCGATCTTTCGGCCAAAACTTGCGCGGCCTCTCTTCGCACAATTCGCGAAAATTTCTCGCTCGAGCATTCGAATTCATTCGACGAATCGTGGCCCTTGGCTTTTCGATTGGCTAAGGGGATTCCGAAGGCGCCTCGCACTTACGACAATTGGAGCTTTCGACACTTGGACGAGTACTCGCGCTGAGTTTGAATTGTAACACGAACTTGGGGCCAATTTCTCATCCTCTTGGCATTGCAATTCGCTGGCTTTTGAAATTTTTAAGAAGCTGCGATACCATGACCATTGATTAATTAATTAGTCTACGCACAAAAAGCCCCTTCGAATGGTTTTTCCATTAGTTATTGAACGGCTTGGTAGACGTGATACAGCGGACTGACGTGACACTTTTCTTTCGCGATCGTTCAAATCATTTCCTCGATGTCCGACTATTATTATTCGGCCGGCCAGTCCTTCGCCAATAATACTCACTACATTTACATACGGCAATGCGATGATAGAAACCTGATAATAACGAGTATATTAAACACATTGTACTTCTCGGATAATCCCACCATCGTCCATCATCGTTCTTCACCCATCGTTCACGTTATTATAGAGGAGGCAACGTAATTCGGTGGGAGCACGTGCCGAGCACCAAAGAAAAAAAAAATATGTCTAGGCAATGATAGTAGCTGTCAATGGTGGTGATTGGGGGGAGGGTGGTGGTGGTGGTTCGGGTGGGGGGAGAGGATGGCTTAAAGAGGCACTCGAGAAAGTCACGACACCTACGCGGCATGAGCTTCGTGGGCATGGAATCGAGGCTGCCCTGGGAGTCACCGTTGCCGCGACAAAGAGAGTCGCCGCACGGAAGATGCAAGAAGCAGCCCAACGGCGGCGCGTAATCCAATATAATCGCGAGGGCAACGCGGCGTTCGACGACCCGAGTCGCGGAAGCCCGGTGGTACCCTTCACTCGATAAAGCCCGAAGGAAAGTCGGAGGAAAGACGGAGGAAAGCAGGAGGTAAGACGGTGAAAAGACGGAGGAACAAGGAGAAACGGTGGATGTTACCGCGGGCGGCAGGAGACGAACGGGAAGCACACGGGAAGTCGCTAATTAACGGCTAAGGCCGACTCGCCTCGGACTACATTGAATTCGCCGCGCTCGAGAAATCCCCGATGACGCTGCCTGAGATCGATGAGGACCGGATGTGTATGTGTATAAGCTCGCCGAGGTCATATGACACGAGTCACGCGTGTTTATCTCGGCTGTGCGTGTGTTAGGGCCGAGGATCGCATCGATTGCGCGGGAACTTTTCATTTTGTTATAATTCTCGGGGTCGGTCGACCACTCGATGACGTTTTCGTTTCGTTTAATCCTCACATGACGAGGGCATTTTGTATTATCGATAAGATAATTTGCCGATAAATGCTTAATATCGAGGATGCACGTGTGTAGAAGGCGAGCGAAAATGACAGCTCCAAGACGAGTGAGATCATATATATTATTATCGATTTGCCACCCGAAGATGCCTGGTTTAAAGTCTCCTAATTGCATTGTTGAAATTAAAAATACTCTATTCAATTTGAGAATGTTAAAACAGTTGAGAATTTCGTGACAAGCGATTGATTAATTTCAAAATCAATATGTAAGAGTTTGAGTTTAATTGAATTTGCAGGAATAATGAGAGGACTTGTAGTTGTGGAGGAAAAACATCTACCAATATCCATTAGCACTATCTCGGCTTTCTATACTTGCTATATGAGAAGAAAAAAGTCATTATATATTTGAATTTGATGATATAATGCGTCGTTAAAGCCCCTAGATTATACGAATAATTCCTATGAATACCTTATTACGGGCATAATGTAATTCAAAAATCTAATTTGTCCTAATTTATTAATTATTTTCAATTAACATACGTGAAATGTACATTGGTAAAAGTGTTTTTATAAACCACACCGCATATCGTTGTGTGCATTCCAGCAATTATGCGTAGAAAAATGCAACGACTGCAAGAAATGCAAGACAGTACTGTAATTGTCGCTATTAGAAAATTTATTATAAAGATTTGCCTCGCAAATGCTCGCTATGCAATAAATAACTATCGATAGAAATTTTATTAAAATTATATTAAATTTAAATTTAAATACTCGATTTTAAGATTAAAGTACGAGTGTATCACATGTCCTATTGTTATTAATCAGATATTTTAATCGAATATATGTTTATAGAAATTTTTTTTAGAAATAGGAGGTAATTATTGTCGTGTTATTCGTATAAAAACAAAAAAAAAAAAAAAAAAAAAAAAAAAAAAAAAAGAGGTAAAAATTTTTAAATTGATATTTTTTAATCTCGTTTACGATCAATCGATTATTTATTAAACCTAAACATTTAAACATTGTTACTCCACACTATTTAACGAAAGAAATTGAATGAGGAATATATTATTTTAATAACTTTTACCTTAAATGCATAATAAGTTTTTTTTATGATTATCGCTTATGATTAACTGCTCTTTCGAAAATTCTAACAATAACAAGTTCACTTAATTTTATGACCCACTATTTGTGCAATTTAATAGAACTTTAATTATAACTTTAGAAAGTTTGAAAGACTAGTTTTAATATCCAATTCTATTTGTTCTTTAAAGTACAAA